AACTCATTTGATAGTTTTCTCTTTAGTTCATAGATTTTTTTTTTAATTTTTATTTATTTTTAAATTTTTTTGTCTCTTTAGTTCATAGATCTTTTGAATATTAGTTTCTGCAATTAACTTATCATCTGTGTATGATAATAAAAATAATGCAATATTTTTTTTGTTCTTTTGAATATCAATCTTTTCAGTTGCAACAAGTGGGAATGCTGGCTTACCGCATATGAGTTAAATTTTTTTCTATTTATTTTCCCATATGATTATTTTTCTTGAATATACTGAGTATAATGTGGATGTTTGGCCTTGCAAAATGTAGCAGACCAAAAGATAAGTTCGCATCTCACATTTATAGCTTTTATTGTCTGGTAACTGAGAAAAGAGGAGAGGAAGAAACGGTGCATGCTTTATGTGCATGTGTTTGGTAAGCATGTCTTTACAAGTATTTGAAGTTTTCACCATATGTTTTTTTGGTAAGCATGGCTGAATATAAATTGAGGCCACTTTTCTTTTGGTATAAGTTTGAACTATAGGTTTCTTCAACCATTCAAATTCTTTTACTCTCTCTTAAAGTAAGTTAGGATCAGTAAGTGCCTTCATTCAAAATTTTTTAGGTATATATGAAATCTCAAGTGACGTTAGCATAGATTTAATGTTGATTCAACATTCTTAAAAGAGTGAGGGTTCAATTCTCTTGAAGTAATGCATCTAGTGCTCTTTTTTTCCCTTCCTCACATCACAATTTCTTTCCAACATCTTCTGCCTTATATGGATTTTGGATATCAAATAAATGTTAGTATTGTGATAAAACCTTTAGCAAAAACCAAATGAAAATGATATAACAAGCACAAGGAATACAAGTTTATATTTGTGTTTTTGAGATTCACATGTCTATGACCTGTATTATGGAGATCATATTTTCATTCTACTAAGCTTCATAGGGGTTCATCAAGGATTTCTCTGCATATAAATTAAGAGGTAAATATAGAGATATGTCAATGACTATGAGGGAAAGCAATCATCTGTCGTTAAAAAAAATAAAGGTTGGACATGAAAAAGAATATTTTGTTATTGCTATTGCCCTTTTCTCCTTCTTTGTTGCATGAATCTGAATGAAAGCTTTTCCTTTTACTGAAACCGAAACAAAGCACCTCCTTGAAGATGTAGAGGATATCCCTTATGTAAACACTTAAAAAACTCTTCCGTTTGTTCTCTATATGTTTGTAGTTGTGGCATGCCAATTCCCTTCTTTTAAGACTATTTTTATTGCTAACAAGATATGAGTTTAGTGGCCTAAAATTAATTACAAGAATTTATAAGATCTGAAAAATGTTGGCAATATCTTGTCAAAAATATTTAATCATTTCTTTGAAAATCTCATTTCAGTATTTGAAATACATAAATCACAATCATGTCTTATAAAGATTTGTTGGGATACAATTGATTACATAATTTTAACAATGTCACACTTGTAGTACAAAATTTTTGATGTGCTGTTTGATAGTTAGTATATGAATTTCTTTTTGTGTGACATCTCTAAATTATCATTCATAAAGATTAACCAAGACTTCACAAAGCCTTAAACTTTTTGTTGATATCATTTTTCTGTGTATATCAACAGGGTTTTGTATTTGTTTGACATAAACGAGTTATAATGGATCAACTACAACCAAATTACATGTCTAGTGATAGGAGTTGTATGTGTTTTATACGGGATTAAAAACCTACGTTCTTTGTCAAATGATGACGCTTTAGTTATCATAAAAGAGTCTATTTTCTACTAGAATGTTTTTGAGCTAGATCATCTCCTTGTTGGCTTCAAAAACAACTACATATTCAGGTAATATAGTCGATATAGTGATTATATTTCATAATTGTGCCATCTAACTGATTGCAGTGCTACCCAAAGTATAGATATACCTACTAGCATTCTTCTTTGTGTCTAGTTATCTTCCTATATCCGAATCAATGTAGTCTTGCAGTTTTCATTTGGTCTTTTAAACTTCAGAGAATAATATCCGAATAAATGTAGTCTTGCAGTTTTCATTTGGTCTTTTAAACTTCAGAGAATAATTGATCATACCTTTAAAATATTGTTAATCTATTTAAGTTCTTTCCAATATTATTTTCTCGGATTACATATGCATTTGTTGACTACTCCCACTACTTGTATAATATCTGATCTTGTTTAGATTATTACATATATGAGTGAACCATAGCTGATGTGTAAGGAACCAAACTCATGTGGTCCTTTTTCTCTTTAAGTTATGAAATTTATTATTGAGACAATCTGAAGTGCTAATGAGTGACAAGCTTAATGTGGTTGTCTTTGTTATGTTGATCATGTCTAACACCTTTTTTATTTATTATGATCACGAAAAATTTAATGTACTAGTAGCCTTGTTGTCATCTTATTATGATCGCGAAAAATTTAATGTACTAGTAGCCTTGTTGTGATCTTTTTTCATCTAGAGATTCCTTTTGGTTTCTCCCAGATATTTTATGTCGAACTTTTTGTTGTCTCTTCATATTAATTATTTTTTGATTATATATCCATGCAAATAACTTGTCATCCATGTATGATAATAAAATTAATGCAATCTTTCCTTGTTCTTTTGAATATAAGTCTCCATGTTGCAACAATGATTCATATCCTGTGCATGAACACATCAAATTTTTGGTGTCATTGGCAAGGTGTTTGTTTCAGGTCATTAAGACTTTTATCTGGCTTGCACACAAGTTTTTCTTTTTAGGTTCATTAAGCCTTTAGATTGCACTATGTAGATGTCTTTCTCTAGGTCATCATGCAGGAAAATTATCTTGGCATCTATCTGTTCAAAATATAGATCTTCTTTTGCCATAATGCTCAACACTAAATGAACAATTGTTAATTTAACCGCAAGACAAAAATATTTCAATGAAGTTTATTCCTTTTTTTTTGTTGAAGCCCCTTTACGAGCAGCAGTTGACTTGTATTTTTTTTATTAATTTATGTTTTTTTAATGCCTATATTCGTTGGGCAATTTAGTTAGTTTCTAGGTGTTCTTATGAAGACCTATATCTCTTTTTTCATAGTATGTTCCCATTTGACAGATTTGTTAACATGTATGGCTTCATTATAGCATTCGAGCATTCATGTATCTTCAAACAACACTGAATAAGGAGAAGAGAATAACAATTGGTTGACTTGTGAGTTCTTTATGATCTTCTGGCTAGGTTCATAGATGTGCTACGCTTAGCTTACTCTAAGAGTTTTTTGTGGTATTTTCTTCCTTTTATTAGCTCAGACAATTCTTCCAGTTTAACAACTCTTGTTCTTATAAAATATAATTTATTAAAGATAGTATTTCTGCTTATAATTTTATTTTACTTTCATTATCCCTCCAAAATGTTAGTTGAACTCCTCTTTCTACCATATATAATGAAGAGCACTTATTAGATTATGGGTCTAGCTCGTCTCAATCAATCTAACAAGTATAAACACTTGATAAACAGGTAATAACCTTCAAATTTGACAAACATATCTCCTCGCCAGTACAGGCTTTCTTAGGAAGCCCAACATTGAGACAAGCTAGACCAAATATGATGTTATGTTTATCACATCCGTCCAGAACGTCTTCATAAGACCTGCATGCAATCTCATATTCCTATGTGTTCATTTAGAGTTATCGTTCATTTTGTCTAAGTACTTCATCTTTATCTTGTAGGGTGAGTTCTTGGAACTATTCTCTCATGATTTCCAATGTGGCACAATAGTTTTTTTTTTTTTTGGGTTTAATCGTTCCTAACAATATAAATTGTATGCACATGATTTTTCTTCAGTTTCATATTCAGATTAGGATTTTTCACTCACATAGTTAAAAAAGGTAGTTTATTTGATAAAATAAACTAGTATCTTTTCTAGTGTGCAATCTATGATGTGAGAACAAATAAATGTTCCTAGATGACGGAAGCAATGGGAGATGACCCTCATACATTGTTGCAATAGTTCTAGCTTTTTGATCTTTTAATTTTTCCAGACTGAGCAAATTCAGTCTCGTCTTTTGCTTTCCTAAAGTATCTCCACGAACGGTGTTTCAACATGACTTTATAAACTTAGAATAATAGAAATTTATCTTTCGACATAAAGGGAATCTTTAAGTTTTCTCGACTCATGTTGCATAGCATTTGTTGACGATAATTTGAACTAATTTTTAGCTGGTGGCAACTCTGCATTTATCTTGTGGCTTGTATGTGGAAGGATACATCTATCTTGTTCTTCCACTCATACCAAGAGTCTCTTTATTTCACTTTTTTTAATATAAACATTGAAAAATGACATGACTTCTTTTGCAACTACGTTGTTCAGTTTCATATTAGTTTTTCTTGAGCTATGATAGATTTGACTTTTGGCTCAACAACATTACGTTATGTTTCTTATTTTTATTCTCTAATTATCCATATATTCAAACATTAACAATGGCTATCTTGGTTTTGATTTGTTTTCTGGATTTGGCATCTCTCCTTCTTTTCTCACTTCCTCTCTATATACTTTGTGGGCTATGGTACGAGCCCATCCTTCCAAAGCTCTATTTAATAAAGACATAGTTTGGAGATATATAATTTAATTACAGATTTTTACAAAATTTTTAATGTTTAAAAGATTTCATTAGACACAAAAATCTTTTAATCATATCTTTTTGAACATTCTTTAATCCAATATTTACAATTATAATAGGAGGTTTTCTAATAATTGTTATTGTAAAGATTTTATTGGGTGATTATTTTGACTACAATATTTAATTACTAACAATGATTCAGAGAGCAATGTCTATTGACAGTCTTGAATGATGATTTTGAGTCAAAGTCCTGTGAAAATCTGAATTGTCAAGGAACCTAAAGTTCAATCATATGCAGCTTTCATCAACTTATATATTTTTTTTTCTTCTTGTTTTCCTTATTTTTTTCTTACAGGTTTTACGTGTACCTCCATTTATGGTATGAACACACCTAGGTGGGTGATGAAGATGTTTGTTAGCAGCAACTGGTGAGAGCTCTGTTAAATGTTTCTTGTTTCATAAAGCTTTAAAGCAGTAGGCTGAAAAACTTTATCCTTTAAACCTGAAAGATGAAACTTGAAAATGTTCAAATTAATATTTGTACCTTTTTTTTTAAATTTAAAACACATCTCTTCTTGCGAAGTAATAGAGGATTGGTAGCCTGTAACCATATTTGGCTTTGAAGGAATTGCCACTTAAAGGATCCTAAGAAGAATACCATCATTTGGTTTCCATATAATAGTTAATAGTCTAGATACTTGCGCAGTTCTACCTCGTCAATTTTAAAACTTCCATCAACCATCTCTTTTTTCTTTAGAGATATCATCCATATCAATGTTTATTCTTGAAGTAGAGCATGCTGAAAAATAATTTAGATCTTTAGAAAATCATTCATGTTTTAAAAATTTATGTGCAGATCTTGAAATCAATAGTCATCCAATTCTTTTTGATAATGAGAGTAGCTAAACTATAAACCAATTTTCATATTTTTTAACAATCCATAACATAGATGAATTTGAAAGAAAATCAATGTATATCATTTCTGAAATCTCAAAGACTTTTTAAGGGAACGTCGTGAAGATTGTGACTTTGTGAGTTCGTAATTCATTAAGGATTGAGTAACAAAAAACTACTTTAAAAAGTGCGTCTAGAAGAAAACACTTGATACTCTCACTGCTATAATGTAGCTCTCCACTCATTTCTCTTAAAAGCTATCAGGCCTGTCACTTGCAGGGCCTGGCATTGCGGCATTAATATTTGAGTTTTCCTTAAGTCTGTGAGGGCTGGACATAGTTATTTGTTTTTTTTTTTTTCCTGTACAGTCTCAGATTTTGCAGATTATCGCTTATTAGCTGGCTCTGTGGCTCAGCAATTGAGGCTTGCTTGGTTATTCCTTTTTTATTGTAAAAGTTAGTCTTTAAAAAATGCGTTAAGGAATGGTAAGTGTTTCTAACGGAGAAGTCAAAATATACAATAAAGCTTTCTCAAACATAGTAAAAAAATGAAGTTCCCTTAAAGCAATTTTGTGGGCTCAAAATTTGCCTCGTTCTCCACCTCTGTGCTTTTCTTTTCGGGGGGAGTTTTAACGGATTAAGTTCCGGGGTAAATTTTGGGAAGGCAGATGGGTTTGTAGATAAGACACTACCCAAAGATTTCGCCCTCACTTTGTGAGGACTTTATGATCTAAGTTCTTGTTTCCGATAGGCGCAAGCCCCTATAGTTAATTACCCCTCTCAATCATGAGAGAGAACTTTCGATTAAGGCTAGTCGTCAATCAGATACGTGAAGATATGTGTTATCTGACATATAATAGCAGCATGTGTATTGGTATTTGGAAATGGTTGAGAATTTGAAGGTTTGATATTTAAAATTGGAAATTTCACCATCGTGCACTTAAAGCGGATGGTGGGGGAATGGATGATGGACCCGATCAAGATCCCATAGTTCCGTCGTCCCGGGCCATCGTGATCCTTGGTTTACTTAGTCAGAGGAGGTAGTCGACCCAACCTGAAAGAAGGATCCTTGTCGGCAGCCATGGGTTGTTATGTCCAAGGGGATCTTGAGATCTGGGGCAGATATATTTGTCTAAGGGGGTAAATTTGAATCAACCTTAGCTAACAGAGGGCTTTGTGCCCTATCGATCATATCCTATTGATTCACATCTCAAGGATTTGATGCCAGTAAGGAACGTATTGGCTCTAGTCATAACCGGTATCTCGGGGTGCCACTTAGCGGCAAAACCACTCAGTTCAGAGGTCCCCGAGTCATAATCGTTTATCCTGCGGTGTCATTTGGTGGCAAAACTGCCAGAGGACACCACGTCCTTACTGGCAGGAAATTATTTGAGAATTGATTATATTGATATTTTTAATTAGACATTTATCTCTTATGAGCTGAAATATATTTTCATTTTGTCTACCCCAGCAAACTGTTGCAGAGGGTAGATAGATTTTGCTTTAAGTGGTTTGATGAATTATTTCAATTTTAAATATATTGGATTTTGGGATTTCAGAATTTTAGATTTTTGGGTATTTGGGATGATATTTTGAAATATTTAGAGTTAACACATCCGGTTGATATATGCATTCAACACAACCATCATCGGGGTGACTTTGAGGTCACTTGAAAATATTTAAATTTTGTGGAAGTTTGAGGGCACTTTGAAATATTTGAAATTAACTCTTCTGGTTGAGATCTACATTCAACACAGCCATCGTCGGGGTGTATGGGATTATTTCTACTTGTAGATTGAACTTTGTCAATCCCTTCAAGTTGTCAACAGAGGACCGGGTTTGCCATAGGCTTTGTGCCTTTATTGGTGAATTTTCTTTATTGAAAGCCTTGAAGACTTAATATGAATGTATTAAAATAAATATATCGGTCCCCACAACCGTATATTTATTCGATGATTCTAACCATGTCGACTCCTATTGACCCACATAGAAGGATCGGGCTCAAACATGAATTCAAATTTATTGACCCGCGCAACATTCCTAGATGTGACGTATGTTCCTAAAACACACTCGTCGGGGCCCATGCTGGTGTTTGGGGGTATTTTATAATTATTTGTTGAACCTTGTCAACTTTTATCTACCTGCGTAAGATTGGGTTCAGGTTTATTGACATTTGCAGCATCCCTAGACGCATGTGTGTATCAATAACATGCTGGCCGAGGCCCATACGGGTGTTTGGGGATATTTTATAATTATTTATTGGACTTTTTCAACTCCTATTTACTTGCTTAGGAGGATCAGGTTAAATTTAATGACCCGCGCAACATCCCTAGACGTAACGTGTTTCTACAACACGTTCGCCGGGGCCCATGCAGGTAAATGATTTTATCGATGAATCTTTCTTATAAAAAGCCTTGAATGCCTAATATGAATGTATAAAATAAATATCCCGGTCGACCTTGTGAACATATATTTATTTAATGGTTTGAACCGTGTTGAGAAGGATCGGGTTCAAACTTTGATTCATTATTTAGCCTGCGCAGCATCCCTAGATGTCACGTGTATATCTATAACACGCTCGTCGGGGCCCATGCGGGTGTTTGGGGGTATTTTATAATTATTTGTTGGTCCTTGTCGACTCCAATTTACCTGCTTAGGAGGGTTAGATTCAAATTTATTGACCCGCGTAACATCATTAGATGTCATGTGTGTACCAATAACATGCTCGCTGGGGCCCATACGGGTTTATGATTAGACTTGCCTCTTGTGTACCTATGTGTATACAAACTACGGTGCATGTGCGGGGGCATTTTCAGATATTTTAGTTGTGTAGGTAACTGTCATTTGAATGCAAACAACATTCCATTTGAGAACTTATATACGCTTTCTGTCCGCTAATACAAGTATTGCGGATCCGGTGGTGTTGTTACATCTTGTAGAAGCTTGTATTTAATGAGTCTTCTGCACTTGCTCTGGCACTTTATATTTATAGAGAGTATCCTACAACAACTCGTAGGAGTTCGTATTTAAAATATTCACCTTGTATTTTTGCTTGTGGATAATAGATAAGGTGTACAACGGGTCTCCCACAATAGCCCGTAAGAGCCGGTGTACACCATATATCCTTCGCCTTTGAGTTTTGTACAACCATCAGTGTGAGTTTAGGGGACCATTCATTCATCAGGAATTTGCAAGGCTCAATAATCTTATCCAACTCAATGTTCAAAGTCTGATTGAACTGAGACTCATCCTATCTTTAAAATGAAGATTTGATCTAACTTCTTCCCAAGACTTGTATAGAGTTCAACGGGCGACTACTAGGTTATGCCATCATCATCATTTTCTGTTGTCGGATTAAATAAATAATCAATCATTTCAACCTTGGATGACTGCATTCTCGCTGATGTAATACAGTTGATGTGCATCGTTGTTATTCTTCGTTGCATGTGAAATCCTTCTAATTTGAATTGACATGTTGAATGTGAAATGAATCTTTGACAATGTCGTTGAACCCTTCTGCTTGTAGGGAACTAGTATATTCAGTTTTAGTCAAGTGGCATTGATTGTACGAATGAGATGTTTGCCTCGAACTTTTTAAATGCATCTTCGCTAACCATTGTTGATTGTAGATTACAAGATTCAATATGCTTGCTTATATTTTGATCTTGATTGTAGGGATACCCTAGCGTTTGTTGTATGCTTCTACATATGCTTGTAGAGCATATCACCAACTACATTAAGTCATTATATTCGTTGTACCCTGATCTCTTTCACTTACAAGATATTTGTACAATTACTTGCATGCTGACTTGTACTGACTGTGGGAGGGCCACACTTCAACCTTAATTTGATATTTCATTTGTCGCATGTCTCCTCTTGAACATGTCTTGTATGTTGGCGCTGATTGTGAAGTGTTGTATTTGTTGTGTATCATCCTGTGCATTAATCTCTTTTGTTTGTAGTGGAGCAATATGTTTGATTAAGTGATTGAAACATGCATCGTACTCAATCATTGTCACTTGTGAGTGAGTTATCTTGCATATAAGTTGCAATGCTTGTTGGAGAGAAGACTGTACTTGCTTAATATTGGGAGATTGCAAGTGATAGGGACGCTCCATCTTCTTGCATAACTGCTACGGAGAATGTCATCAACTCTAATTTTGTTATTCACAAGGCAGTGTTGCAAAGTATTTGCTTTATTTGCTAAATGCCTTTCATTTAATCTCCGGGTGAGTTGCATTCATCACTATTGCGCATATGATAAATCACATACGGTTGCTTGTAAACATTTATGCTTTGATCTACGAGAAAATGATTGTATGTAATAAGAGTCTTTCAGCATTGCATATAAGCAATATATGTGTCCCTTGCTTTGGACCATTGTTGTTTGCAAATTGACCTCATTAAGGATACTGATGTATTTATTGCATGCCGACTTCCTTCGTTAATTGATGTTCCTCACTTGTATGCTTTGAGAGTTTATTCAGTGCTCATTTGCATTGGGTGTTTATTGACCATTTGTATTGTGTCTTGTTCATTGATACTTATTTGGAGGTCTTGCGTCATTGTTCGCGAGTAATTTGTATGCGGGATTCCGCTTCTATCACAAGTCCTTGTACATTTGCTTGTATAGTTGGCCTCTGCTTGTATGGCGTTTATTTGAATACACTTGAATGTTTGGAGTCATTATTTGTAGCTGCTCGTTACCATTTGTAAGTAGATTATGCATCTCTTTGTGCTCGTTACCATTTGTAAGTAGATTATGCATCTCTTTGAAGACATATTATTGAGCTTTCCACTTAATCTTTGCTTGTGAATAGGTTGCATTTGTTACAATCATTTTTGAATCAATTATAAGTAAGTCACGCTGAAATCCGTAAGTCTTTTGTTTGGTTATTGATATTCATTAGAAAGATCTAGGTCTTTATTTAGTATTTACATTGATATAGTGGAGTATTTGCTAAGTTAAAGTCTTATTTCATAAAATTGGGTTCAAGTTCTCTTGCATCAATCTCCATGTGGTCCTTTTGAATTTAGGTTTTTTGCACTTCATTCAAGTTCAAATACAATTCACTATCGATCGTTCAATTTAAGTCTTTGCTTGAGTTCAAGTAGCAAGCTCAAGTTTTATGTCCCCTGCAGTTCTTTGAGTTCAACAAGTTCGAGTCTTGTTCAAGTCCAATGTCGACCATATTCAAATTACTCATTGATATTTTGATTTTAAGTCTCTTATAATTATTCGATTTTGTTCAAATTAGATCCGAATTCATTTAGTTTCAGGTCCCCCATTATTTGTAATTTGAATCCAAATTAAGTCCCAATGAAATCCTCTGTCCACCCGAATTTTCGGCAGCCTCCCGGCATCTCCCCTGTTTGGGAGAAATTTCAGGAGTTTGGGCCTCCCGCCACGTTAGAGAAAAGCGTGCACGGTTGGTGTCGTGGGACACCGCGACCGTAGTCTTTGTCCCCCATCACGCTAGAGAAAGACGTGCATGGGTCTTCGGGAACCTATTTAAAAATGCTCAATTTTATATATTCGTCCCCGTCACGCTAGAGAAAAACATGCATAGGGCCCGCCTGCCTCGTTGTAAGCGTCGCACCGAGTTTCCTCTCACCACGCTAGAGAAAAGCGTGCAGGATGGATTCCTCGACGCACCACAAACTCCGAAAATAGGACTTTAGGATATTATCCGCTTCTTCGCAAGCATCGCAACGAATTTCCTCCTATCATGCTAGAGAAAAGCGTGCATAGATGGTTGTTCGTCGCGTTGCAAGCCCCGAAACGAGTTTTCTTAAATTTGAAAAATTCTTCTTTTTTTCTCTCTTTTATCTTTTTTAGTATCGACAATATATGAATAATGATAATATCATTATTATTAATAATAACACTATTATTGACAAGAATAATATTATTAAAATGATGCCATTATTATCATAATAATAATAATCATAATATTATGATAATAATATTAGCTTCAATATTAATATTAATGTTAAATGCATAACATCAAAACATTGAGGTGAGGGAGAGAGTGATCACCTTGATTAAGCTAGGGATTTGGGTTGGGTTGAGTGAGTTGGAGTGAGTTGGGTGAATTGGGCTGAGTGGAGTGAGTTGGGCTCTATGTAAATAGATATATGGGGAGGTGATGGGTTGAGTTCGGCTAGGGCTGGTCGTGGGGTTCGAATGGGGAGGGCAGAGGCGGCTTGCTGCAGATGGCTTGAAGGAGATCGGGATGGAGGGAGATCGGCTTGAGGAGGATTCGGGAAGGGAAGAAGCTCTCTCTCTCTCTCTCTCTCTCTCTCTGTCTCTCTCTCTCTCTTTGCAAACGGGAAAGGGGGGGTGGAGAGATGGAATTGACGTTGGAGCAAGTGGGTTCGAGGTGGACGTCGGGCTTCTGTGGAGTTTTCGGTTTGGGTGGATTCAGGAAGAGAGGTTGAGGGCTATGAGAGCTTTGGAGTCGGCTAGAGGATCGCAAGGCATAGAGCCTCAATCGACGAGTTGTAGGAGGTCGTGGATTCAGATGGAGTTCGATAGTGTGCGTGTGAGAGCGAATGGGAGCACCTCTTCCTTTTATTAACGCAAGCAGGCAACAAGATGGAGGGGAAATCATACACTCGAGGTGGGATAAGGGGGTGGATACGACAGATCAGCGCCATTTGCAGGGGATAAGATATTGCAGTGGCTGCAGATACGGGATTCAATAGGATTTGCAGGATGGGGCGCTACAGGTAATGATGTTTTGTAAATTTTTTTATTCTCTGGTTTCCTTTTGGTTTTATTATGAAGGTCAACACATTTCTATAGAAGTGTCCCATCCAAACAACAACAACATCAAGCCTTATCCCACTACGTGGGGTCGGCTACATGAATCCTTTTTCTCCATTGTGTCCTATTAAATGTCAAATTCTCGTTTAAATCGAATAAAGAAAGGTCATTCCTAATATTTCTAACCAAGTTTTTTTAGGTCTGCCTCTACCTTTCTTAACATAAGTCAAATGTTATGACCTCTGTCTAAACTCTCCAACAGGTCTTGGAAGGATTCCGTTTTATGTGACCAAACAATACCTAAAGTAACTCTCGTCTAATCTTATTTTTTTACTAGGATGCTAACTTTTTCATGTATACCATGCTTTTCGTATCCTATCATTAAGGGCAAAGCACATCCATCACGTGAGCATACTCATCTCTGGCAATCAACTTAACGTTAGTATTATGCTCTCTTATTTAAATGGCTCACATTCACAAACCATTAAGCATTGCACAAGCGCTCACTACGGAATCTTATAGAATTTTCCCTAAGATGTTGTGAGGTCACTTTTCTATCACCAACAGCCGATGCTATTCCATTCAAAAACCATCAACTTGAATTCTGCTGATATATCCCATCTATTTCACCATCACTCTGAACAATAGATCCAAGATATCTAAAACGTGTACTTTATTAATGATTTGTTTGCCAAGTCACAATCCCCTCACGTAGGTCTATACTATAAAATTCACTCCATATATTTCGTTTTAGATCTACTCAAGCGAAAACCTTTAGTCTCTAATGTTGACCTCCATAATTTAAGTTTACTTTCAACTCCCTCTCTAGTCTTATCAACAAGAAGAGTATCATAAGCAAAAAGCATACACCAAGGTACATCCTCATACATTCCACTACTTGGTCAAACCACCTTGTGTTTGAACACAAGTAATAGCTCCTGCATACATATCTTTAATGATTTGAATATAAGCATTATTAACTCTTTTCTTTTCAAGAACTCTCCATGGTACTTCTCTCCATAGCACTTCTCTTGAAACCATCCAAACAACGATAAAAAAATAATTTTGCCGTTTCTAAACGGAAAAGAAAAAAAAAAGCCGAAACAAACAAGGCCTGAATCCTATGTTAGGTTGACTCTGTGGAAAATAGCCATAATCTCTCCCACTGGTTCTTCTCTTTAGATTTGCAGCAAAACTCATGCAAAATCATTCATTTGCATATATAGAATATAATCCAAAATTCATTCTCTATTTTGCATTTTCTTTTAATTTTTTGCAGGGAAAGATGCAACAAATGACTTTGAAGATGTAGGCCACAGTGACTCCGCAAGAGATATGATACACAAATACTGCATAGGAGAGATTGATGCTTCGACTGTTCCAGCTAAACGTGCCTATGTTCCTCCCCAGCAAGCACCATACAATCCTGATAAAACCTCAGACTTTGTCATCAAGATATTGCAGTTTCTGGTTCCCATATTGATACTGGGCCTTGCTTTTGCAGTCAGATACTACACCAAAGCAGAGTAGGCAAACTTCTATTGAAGGAAATGGGAAATTTAAAATGTCCAGTTCACTGTATTACATATTGTTATTGAGTTGCTGAAAGAATTTGTTGACTAAGGCTTCATTTGGGACGACTTTCTTACTACTTCTTAAAGCAGCTTTCTAGTACAAAAGTTAATTTTTGTACTAGAAAGCCGCTTTAAGAAGCAATTTTTGTACTAGAAAGCTGCTTTAAGAAGTAGTAAGAAAGCTGTCCCAAATGAAACCTAAGAGAGCATGCATGCGTTGGATGGATTACCTTTGTTCCCACTAGTGAATTCATATACTATGAAGATTTAAAGATTCTATTATTTAGGCTGTAGCAAATGGAGCCGTTGAAGGTAATGAAGATTCAGTTGATGGGATTCAATCAATGGATGTAGCTCCTGCTTTATCATTGTTATTGTTCCCTTTTCTTCTGTGGGTTACTTCGTTTTGGTTGTTTTTGTGGTGGAGAGGCTAAATGGGCACTAACTTGAACCAAATGGATCAGATGAGTAGGAGTTGCTGATTCAAACCGAATGATTCAGGTTGGTTCATTTCAAAGGTGGAGTTGTGTAGTTCTGAGGGGGGACAATTGCCCCCCTAAAAAATCCCCCCCCCCCCTACAAATTTTATTTTTACTCATAGCTGATCTTTTTTCATGCAATTTGTCCCTCCAAAAATCGGAAAATCTCTTGGTCTTTTGTTTTTTTATCCGATTATATTGAACTTTTTTAACACTAATAAATTGGTCTGTCAAATGCAATTATGTGCAAAATAAATTATTTTTGCGATTTATAAATATTTTTTTCCTTATAAGTTTGTCATTTGACCCTTGAGAATTAAGGTTGGTTTGGACCTTGATTCATTTTGTTACTTGAATTGAAAACAACTTCATTCCCAGTTATAATTTTCATGATTCTGAAATCAGAACTATCCTAATTACTATAAATTTAGACCAAATTTCTTATATATAGGTGTTAAAGTCTAAGTCGAGCCCGAGCGCGAAATCAATATAAGCTTGACGATTAGTTGAGTTTGATTTTACGAGTTCAAGTTGGCTCGCAAATTGTGTTATTTATCATGCAAGGAAAATTTCGATTCAAGAATTTATTAATATCTTAGACCAATTCATCAGACTCCCAATCTTACTCATTTGTGCATCTAAGCCATTAGTCAATTCAATAATTTTCCTTTGGCTCATATAGCTCATGGATTCTCCCTTCTAGTCACAACAGATCATACCCACCTAAATTGCACCAACTTTGGTGCCCTGGTTGGCTTGAGTATGAAAAATAATAATAATATGAAAATTGCTCAATCTTTTGTTCCATGGAGTCACAAAAACCATGAAGAAATTTGCTCTTTCATTCATGCAGAGCTAGCCCAAATCTCAATTCTAAAATAATAATAATAATAACAATGCAGCAACAACATCAAGCTTTTGTTACACAATGTTGGGTCGGCTACATCAATCATTTTTCTCCATTACCCTCTAAAAATTCAATTTCTCGTTTAAATCTAATAAAGAAATACCATTTCTAATATTTTCTAACCAAATCTTTTTAGTTATACTTCTACTTTTCTTAACACAAATTAAATCTAATACATATACTTTCCTAACCAGGTCATTAGAAGGCTACAATTTTATGTGACCAAATCATCAAAGGCGACTCTCTCTAATCTTATATTCCACCTGAGAATTCTCATCTCTACAACACTTAGTATTATGCTTCTCTTTTAATGGCCAACATTCCGCACCATAAAGCATTGCAAGTCTTACCACAATCTTATAGAATTTTTCCTTTTTAAATTTGAGGGGAACTTTTCCATCACACAATAATAATATAATAATAATAACAATTAATCTGATACAATTGTAGTAAATTTTTTTTCAGATTAATAATAATAATAATAATAATTTGAAAAAATATACTACGATTGTCTCAGAATGGGCTTAAATATCATTAAATTTGCTTTAAATTAATAATTTATATGAAAAAATTGTATCAATCAGTCTTGCGACAAATTTAAAACTATCCTAATATAATTTGAAATAAGATATTTGATACAATTTTTCTCTGCATCATAAGACATGAAGGAATTTTGATTGTATCATCTGATAAAGAGATCATATATTTTAATATAGCATAAATTCTAGCAATAAAATAGAGTTGTGGACCCTTAATATAGGAAAATCAACTTTTCTTTAGAAAAGCGCAGCCTGAGCGCCTCATGAGAAAAAAGTCCATTAGACACTAGAATAAACAACAGCTTGAACGTAAAGGCAAAAGCTATCAGGGAAGAGGAAGGGAGATACATAGCCAAGAAGAAAATATTAGATCATGAGATCTTGTCATGGAGGTTTACAACCAGATCATGAGCATCATCAAGAAGCTTCCACACATCTAAATGACCTGCCATATTGTTGCATTCTCTTAGTATCTCTTCCATGCTGTTGTACCTCTCAATGATCAACTTCCTCCTCTGAAGGACACACGCCGCAATCGCATAGAGAAGCAAGTCATCGGTCGGAGGCACCCGGGACCTTATCCTCGACCAAGCCGATGTCCCAAAACCAGACCGAATAGCTGTCTGGTCTGCCCACATCACCTCCCATAAGCACACTGTCTGCTCAAAGTCGAGCTCCCGCCGGAAAAGCACCACCACCATTCTATAAACAAAGAAGCAGTCCTCAGCTTGAAGCTTCTCCAAGTGTTTGTACAGGTGAGGGTCTTTGAACTTGATGATCTTGGAGACAATGCTAAGCTGCCTGCGAATGCCAACTTCATCAAGCCTAAAGTTATGGCGTGCTTTCATCATGAATCCCACAAAGCACCAAAATGCCTCATCATCTTCCTCCATTACTGAGATTATGGGTGACAAGAGGTCGCTCATCCCTTGGCAGTATCCAATATCTGGGTCATATATTGCATATGCTTCAAGAACTACAACAAGACGAGCAGCATGAAAGATCATGTAAGGCTCCAGATGGTCATAGTCCTTTAGACCGACAGCCTCGGCAAGTTCGAGAGCCTTTTCCTTCAAGACAGCAGCCTGTGCTGGTGCATAAATGACCCACTCTGCATTGGCTCGCACCGCATCTAAACGGATGATGCGCCGCCATGTTGTGAAGTCTTCTACGGTCTGTGCAGGTTTAGAAACACTACATTTGAGAGAATTTGTCGTAGCAGATCGAGAATTAGCTTCCTTATTCTCTTGCGTGGTGGAGGCTATTGAAGTTCTCCCACTCTCTTCTGATGAGGTCTCTGAGTCGGAAGATTCAGTTTCACCTGTGTACAAACCAACCTTTGTGATCTCACTCTTGAAATGACCCATCTGATTTGTCTGATCAACTTGAACAACCTCATTTTGATCTTCGAGCGCATTAGCACAAGTGATGTTACTTTTATCATCAGATGCACCGGCTTGAGAATTCGTCGATCCTTCTAAGGGAATGCTCATATGAGTTGTCATACTCCGAGGTCCGGAAGTAGAGGCTTCATCAGTGAGAGTATGCTCTACGTCACCATAATCCTCATGGGAGAAAGGCTGCTCCACAAATTCTTCTTCTTCAGGTTGTGGAGATACAGGGCATCCACTGAAGCTAGGACTGTCCATATGATCGACTTCATCTATGTCTTTCAACATCTTGTCACCATCATAACCAAGTTTTAACAAAGATTGACATATTTTCCTTAGTTTATTGAATTCCTTCCTGCGCTTCGTTAAAATGATTTTTACTCAAATTTTTGCAGAATAAGCACAAATATCTAGAATACTGTCACTACCGACTTACTGCTGCAATATTAATTATAATTAGACTAGTGTAAATGCAAACTAGGACATTAATAAATTAGGAATTACACGTCACATGTCCTTTAACAGATCAAAACTACCAGCCAGTTTAGTATAACTTCGTAAGTTATGCAATACAACCGGCAAATCGGTTCAAGTAGACTCAACTTTTCAGAAGTCAAACTCAAAGAGTTGAACTAGTCAATACATGAATGGTGTAATTATGTTTTAGTTTCTCTATAAATAGGATGTTATGTATGGACTTTTAGAATTAGTCTTGGATTATGGAAATAATGACAATTTTATGCATCGCTTGTGTGACTTGTTTTCTTGTCTGGAGGATTTTCCAACAACCTGAAGTCTTAAATTTGAAAGTTTGTCATTGTAATGATTTATTTTATTGTGTTTATTCCATATATAACACTATTTTAACAATTTTACTGCATAGCCTACGTCAATTTGATATCAAAGTGAATTTCCTGTTACTTCAATTTCATTTTCATTAATTTCTCATCATTTTGCACGCGAAAGTAATATTTTCTATATATTTGAGATTTCAACGGTTAGCATTTTATGCTCGATTGCAACCAGTTTTTATGTTGTCCCTCTCCCCAATGTTTTCTCCCTCTTATAGCGAGCCCAAAAAGAATCGTCTGTCCCCCTCTACTTTTTCTCTCCACTTAGTTTTATCGCCAAGATTCCTTCAACTACCCGCAGGAAATCTCAACAAAATTTTCATTATTTGAAATTAAATTTAAACTAATTTTTTTTTAAAGCATCTCCACAATTAGTTGCTCAAAATTTCAAAATATAATCCAATCACAATTAATCCCATTTATTAATAATATTACTAATTAACGGGCTTTTATTTTCAAGACTAATTTTACCATGGATTGAAAGATGGTTTATTAGGGACGGGAAACCATTTCGTGTTTTATTCTTTAACTCCCAACATATGCCACATCCTAATGGATTATTAGGGACGGGAAACCATCTCGTGTTTTATTCTTTAACTCCCATCATATGCCACATCCTATTAAGAACCCAACCCAACACAAGCATATAAATGTCAATAGGTCACTTAAATAGTTTATGAATATTACTTATAACTTTTGTGAAATGAAATATTTGATTCTTCATTTAACCAAAGCTAAGCGAATCATGAACTTTCCCCAATGTTGTTGAAGTAAATAGAGAATAGAATATATATATATATATATAATAGAAACCCATCCCATATACTATATATAAAAGGGGCGGGCACAAGGCCCTATTACAAAGAAAGATACAAAAGTATCAAATTATTTAATACAAAAGATAATAGACAACAACCATTTGATTTTTTTCAAGATAACAACATCAAAGTGGGGAGTAGAGATTGAACACAAAACCTCAAGGATAGAAATGGAGGTATAAACCACTATGCCAAGGCTTGATTCATGCAAATAGAAAACAAGATGAATACATTTTCTATAGCAAAAAAACCTATAAGTGTAGTATTTGTTGCTCATCACTGTTGTTCTCTTCCATCATTCCTACGTTAGTTATAAGGCATCAAATTTCTCCGAGAGGCACAATTATAAAGAAAATATTGGGTATCTATGATGCACCGACATTTCTCATAAAAGAGACATGCAGTTCCGACACCGCTGTCTGACCATTGGACACTCGTCCGACACTCCTTCGACACGCCGAAAACGTGTTCGATTAAAAAAATATTAAAAACAAATTGGACACGCGTGTCCGACATGCGTACCTTAAATATTTTATAATTTTTTTAAAATATAATTTCTTATATTTGACGAGATTTAAACTAAATTCTCTATTCCTATCCACAACACCAAATCAACGTCTGCATTTAATACCCATTCCTCGAATATTTTCATTTTCATTTCTCTTTGGCAGGTGAAGGTATCTCATCATCTTTTTTTGCACAATTACAAATCTTTCTCTGTTGAACCAGAGTTGAAAATAGTGATATCAATTGATGATGATATGAAGGCCAAAAACAAACCTCTAAAGTTAATCCTAGTAGTTGAAGATTGAATGCTTGATGTTTTAGTAAGTGATTATTTGCTTATATTTTTGTGGTTGTACTAGATATTTTAGTACAAATATTTCTATATTATAAGCTAAGACGAGTTATCATGTTATTCATTTATTATTGTTTATCATTTTTAATATTGATATTACATTAATTATATAATACAGCTATTTTAAAAAATGTATTATCGTGTCCGCGCAGTACCCGTGTCCAATATTTAAAAAAAAACTGTGATCCTGTTTCTGTGTCTGTCAGGCGTGTCGTGTCCGTGTCGCTAAGGATGTTAAAACCACCCAAACACGTTATGTTGCGTGTCACGTGTCCATGCATCATATTTGGGTATAGAAATTCAATAGGGGAATTTTTATAAAATGCAATAATAGAATAATGCTGAGGAAGGGATTATTATAGAGGAAATGAAGAAATCACTTTCCTCTTATTAGAACAAATCAAATTGTTCTAAATCGCAAAACAAATATAAAATAAGATGAATTATGATGATAATCCACCAAAAACTACTAAAGGAAACCAATAAATCCTTTAATTTGTAATTTTGTATGCTCTCATAAATACAATAATATTCTTTAATCTATATGCTACCATAAATACAATAACATTCGAATTTCAATATTCCACTTCAAGCTAGAAGATACTTGTTGACGCATATTTCACATCGACCCGACTCTGGTCGAGCCCGACTAGGCTCGATCGTGTTCGATCGATTCAATCGAAAGTCGTCGAGGCAAAATTGATCCAAATTGAGCCTCAATCTAATTAAATTAAAACCAATTTAATTTAATTAAAATCAAATCAATTTAAATCGAACCCCGTCGAGCGTCGTCAAACCTAATTCAACATAAATACAATTTTAATTTGTAATTTTGTATGCTCTCATAAATACAATAATATTCTTTAATCTATATGCTACCATAAATACAATAACATTCGAATTTCAATATTCCACTTCAAGCTAGAAGATACTTGTTGACGCATATTTCACATCGACCAGACTCTGGTCGAGCCCGACTAGGCTCGATCGTGTTCGATCGATTCAATCGAAAGTCGTCGAGGCAAAATTGATCCAAATTGAGCCTCAATTTAATTAAATTAAACCCAATTTAATTTAATTAAAATCAAATCAATTTAAATCGAACACCGTCGAGCGTCGTCAAACCTAATTCAACGCGACTCGACACCGATTTGAGTTCAATTTCATGAAATTAAATTGATTGAACCCAATCGGACCCAAACTGACCCAAATCGGTTCGGGTTGAGTCCAATCCGGACCCAATTTCAGCCCTAATTTGTCAATTTGGATTGAATTTGATTCTTAAATCAAAAAGTGAGATCAATTGCTCAGATTTCATCCCAATCCTGCTCAAACTCTTCGATTCGCGCAACGAGGAAGCTTGATTGGGCGGTGCCTTGTGTGCCTCTAAGAGACGAAAGGGAGAGTGGGGGAGCATTCGGCTCCCCCGTTTGGTTCCGTCTCAGACAGAGCACGGGAGGGAGAGGGGGAGCGATCGACTCCCCCATTTTTTGGCTTCGTGCGGTTCGTCCGTCTCAGAGAGAGCGGGAGAAGGAAAGGGGAGAGAGCTTTTGGCTATCTGTTTCTGCATCCGTCCCAGCCCAAGCCGAAGAGAGGGAGAAGGAGAGGGAGGCGGAGCAGAGTCTCTTCCTTGCGTGCAACCCAGACAAGGGGAAGAAAGGCCGGCCAAACCTCTTGGTTCTTGCATGATTTTTTTTACCTATTGATTCTTGCATGATTTTTTTTTTTTGGAGATGAAGTTGAGTGAAGCATAGATCTTGTCTTCTCTAACTGCTGCCTTCTCCTTTCTTTGGGCTGAAAGAAGGTTCCTCCCTCTGCCACCATTTCCTCCCTTCAACAGAGAAGCATAAACTTCCCTTTGCTGCTGTCGGGCGTCTGTTCTCCGAATTACAGAGCAATGAGTTGCTGAAATCAGCCCTTACTGCAGCCAAGAGAGGGTAAGGAGCCTCTACTTCCTTCCAAACCATCTCCGGCAACCTCAAGACAGTGCAAACTGCTATTTGGGGAGTTCTTGGACAGCAAATTCACTCTCCAAAGCACTTTGGACAACAAATTCCATCTCCGGAACAGCTTGGACAGCAGCGGTGATGTTGGGAACAGCTTGGACAGCAACCACGCAACCTCCAAAGGCTTCCAAACAGTGAAAACTGCTGTTTGGAGAGTTTGGACAGCAAGCGACAGCCTCCGGGAGCATCCAAACAGCAAAAACTGCTGTCCGGAGTAGTTTGGACAGCAAATCCACCTTTCGGAGCGGCTTGGACAGCGACGGCGACATCCGGAAAGGCTAGGACAGCAGTCTTCTTCCTTGGGAACATCTTGGACAGCACTTAGAACTTGTAGAGCAGCTTGGACAACAATTTGGAGCGCTAGGACAACCCAAAAGTTGTCTTCCAAACCTCCTAGGAAATCAATCTTCCTTCTCCAAAGTGAATCCAAAACATCCATTCAAATTATAGGGAACTCTCTTTCCTATACGATTCCTCCTTCATTGCAAGTGGAGCCTCCTCAAGGTTCCAAGTGCCACGTCATATGAACCTTTGAATTTAGAAATAAATCTTAAGTCTCCAACCCTTTGTTTGTTGAGACAAAGTCAACAAACAATCATCATCTCCTCATGCATTGCATTTGGAACCTCCTCAAGGTTCCAAATATATCATTTATGACTTTTAACTCACCTTAGGAGCTACCACCAACCTTCCTATGCATAAGGTTGTAAGCTCTTGAACTTGAGATCAAATATCAAGTTCTTTCATCTCATTTGTTTAGCCACTATTTAGGCAAATGAATACCCCTCCTTGGACGCTCAATGTCCTAGGAATCCCTTTCA